CGAGATGGATTGACACAGTGGCTGCGATGATGGGCTCGAGTATAGCAGGGATTGTGGAGCTGGCGCGGGATTGGGCAGTGTTTCGTTCTGCTGCGTATGGGGTCGCTATGAGTCGGAAATGACTCGACAGCACTTAACAACAGCAGCAAAAGCCCATATAATCATCATTCCATAAATAAACTACCTTCCTGCCATTGAATTAATTCTAAATCATAGTGACCCTGTAGGACAGAGTAGAGTTACCCCATAGAGTTTCTAAGGCTGTAAATATTAGCAGAAGCAGACTGCCTCATCTCTCTTCCATGGAGCAGCTGGTGGGTTTGAACTGCGATCCTATTGGTTGGGAGCCAAATGCCTTAACCACTGCACCACCAGAGAGAGCATCTTTTATAATCATCATTAGAGTGTAAAATTCTTTTTTCCACATATTTTAAAAAACTTTTTAACTTGATCATTTTATCACAGAAGAAATAAAGTATTTGGAATCTTGTTAATATTAAATTAACACTTCTTAAGGTTTGCTGTGATCTTCTGAGTATTTGTTGATTTAAAATCATTTATGTGCTTCTTTTTGTAACAAGTATTTTGTTCAGATAGCATCTTCAAAGAGCTGTCTTGAGAGTTCTAAGAGCCTACGTTTTTTATTCTTAGGAAATGGACGAGGAGGGGAATCTATTTATGGAGGATTTTTTGAAGGTAAAACATGTACATTTAAACTATGTTATTAATGTTTTCTATGTTATTCTTTTGATTATTCACTATTTAATCAATAATTTCATTCATTAAATTGTATACTAATAATTCAACCATCTTACACTTAATCTGGATGTATTTTAGTGAAAAATTTTATGCGATAAATATATGGACTTGAGATTATTTGCTTTTGGGTCATTAGTTCATGACATCATTTGATGGATTTCAGTGATCTGTATTAAATTCTTAAAATTATAGTGCTAGAATAGGAGCGTCCATCTTTTGATCTTAGTAACCTTTATTAAAAGTGATTCAATAATAGTTTCTAGTAACAATATCCAGTGAAGAAAAAAAAATTTTTTGGAAGGTCTTTTTTTCCTCTCAAATCCTTTTTTTTTTTTCCCCAGTTAATCTTTGATATTCTAAAATTGGCTGTAATTTTTCCCAAAATTCAAAATTTTCATCTGGAAAATTTTTATTGGTGCTAAAGAGCATTTTCAAAATTTTTATGAGCATGTGAATGTGAAAATACTTTGTTTTCCATCATTCATTTTGGTATTCATTGAGATTTAGTTTTAGTTTCCATTTGTTTTGTGCTCAGATTCTAATCCAAGATTAGATTAGAAGGTAAGCACCTCTACTTACAGTACATGGTACTATGTCAGAGGGCAAGTTAATGAGTGTAGTAATCCTGTCTGTGCTTCTCTATACAGGTTTCCCCTGCTATCCCAAAATAGAGCATTCTTATGAAACCTTCCTATGAAATCTTTTTAAGACAAAATGGCCCAAAGTAAAGAAACAAATACCTTTAATTTATATGTGAATAATATTTTTGAGTGTGCCCAGACCCAAAAAAATGGCCTACTAAATAATACATAAAACCTGAAATAGCACTGATAAACACCATTCACAGACATATTTCAGAGCTCTGGTGGCTTGATGCTAAAATGCTGAGTGTAATTCTTGGAGAAGGAGCATGGCAACACCACTCTCACTGCACTTGTTACACGTTGCTTCTTTAACAGCTTGCTGCAAAATAATTGCTAAACAGTACTTTTGCTTTTTGCCTTTTTTCACGAAATCAGAAATCTTCAGATTTATCTTAGTTAGTGAAAACAGGTATTAATGTAGGTGTTTCATAAAGCAAACCTCCAAAAATTGAGGGAGGATACCTGTACTCAGAAACTAAGCAGGTCAAATGTGAAAGAATCCTATCTGGAATCTTTTTCTTGCTGTTTTAGGAGAGTTTCTTTCTTTTTTGTTAAGATAATATTAATAAGCAAAGAAAGTCATTTCTAGAAACCATAAAAGAAAAGTAGAAATTGAAGGGGAGTTGACATAATATTTGTTTTTATATATAGCAAGGCATAAAATATTAAAATTATCTAAAAAGGTGAGGGAAAATGGATTAATATTCGATTCTTCTTTCATAGCCTGTCTTTATTATCTCAATTTTGTATGTCTGTAAAGAACCCATCAAATATGAAGAGGAGTGAAAATGAATTTTTTTTTGTTTTGAAGTTATGCCTATAATGTAACTTAAAACTGTGCTTCTCTATAGATGAGAGTTTTGCTGTTAAACACAATAAAGAATTCCTGTTGTCAATGGCCAACAGAGGGAAGGATACAAATGGTTCACAGTTCTTCATGTAAGTATTAGTTTCTGGTGGTTTAAAATAGCCTTTTTTTTTGTTGCTGTTCCATCATTTCTCTGTATGCCTGCCATTAATCACGAATGAACGTGGCAGGGATCACTAAGCAGGTAAAGAATTGCTGGAAAGGGGAGAATAATGGAAGTGGGGAGCTGAACTTTACTGCTGAATGTTTTCCTATTCTGGCTATAGAAAAATCAAGACCATGTGTTTTTCCCCAGCCATGCATATTTTTTATTGTATCCTTTGGCTACAGGTTTGCTCTTCTCTTCAGTAGCCTTGAACTCTCCTGATCTCGAGGAACTCAATTTGTCAGATTCTGGTCTGCAGAGTTCATCACTTGTTTGGTGGTAGTAGGAGACTGTGGGACAGAGGAGGAAATCAGGATGTTACTAGCTTATGAACCATGACCTCCTCTTTGTGACCAGAAAAACTAGGTGGTGCCCAGCTACCACTACTGGACATTCCAAGCAGGGTCACAATAAACCAAAAAAACCAAACTCACTGCTGTCAAGTCAGATCCAACTCATAGCAATCTCTCCTTGGGTTTCTGAGGCAGTGTCACTACAGAAGTAGATGGCATAGTCTTCCTTCCGAGGAGTGGCTGGTGGGCTTGAACCGCCAGCCTTTTGTTTAGCAGTCAAATGTCTTAGGCACTACACTTCCAAAGTTCCTACAACTCCTAACAGGAAGCGAGAAAAATGTAAAAAAGAACTTCAAATTCTCAAAGGATCTGGAATTATTGGAGACTGGCAGAATCTTCAGAATTATTGCCCCCTCTTTTAAACCTTGAACCAAAACTATACTATGAAGTCACTTTTAACTATATAGCATGTTAGTTCAAAAAGTAAAGAATGTCACAGTTGAGTATTGCACTTTTAAAAATTTTCTCTGTGAGACCCAAGGTACAGCAGTTACTCTTAAGCATGGATAAGGAGGTTGAGGGAGTAAGACCGAGTTAATGGGAATGGAACAGTTAGAACAGAATGAGAATGTTGACACAATGCAAAGAATGTAAGCAATGTCACTGAACATTGTGTAGAAATTGTTGAAGTTTTCCCAGTCATGGTATGAATACCTGTTTTTGCTGTGTATACTTTTACCAAAAATGTAATGAAATACTTTATTCATTTATGTTTGTTTTCCATTATTTTTTAAATGCATTTTATTGAAATATAATTTATGTACAGTGAAATACACAAAACTAAAGTAACATGGGTCAATGCTTTTTTTTTTGCAGTGTTCCCTACCCTCCCCTCTCACCCCTGGCAACCAACAAAGTTTCCCTCTATACATAAACATTTCCTTGACCCCCCCACAACAACGAACTAGTACTATATTTGTCCTTCTGTGATTGACTTATTTCGCTCAGCATAATGTCCTTCAAGTTCATCCATATTATGTGGTGTTTTGCAGACTCTACATTATTCTTTAGTGTTGCATGGCGTTCCAGTATGTGTATGTACAATTGTTTGGTCATCCACCCTTTACTACTGATGGGCACGTAGGTTGTTTGCATCTTTTTGATATTGTAAATACTGCTGTGATGAACGTGAGCGTGCATGTATCTGTTCCTATCCTGGCTCTCACCTCTCTAGGATATATACCTAGTAATGGGTTTGCTGGGTCAAATGGTATCTCCAATGCCAGCTTTCTAAGGAATTGCCATATTGCTTTCCACAGTGGTTGTGTCACTTCATAGTCACACAGGCAGTGTATGAGAGTCCCAATCTCTCCACATCCCCACCAGCATTTGTCATTTTCTGTCTCATTGAACCTCACCCTCAGTACTGGGGTGAGACGGTGTATCTCGTTGTTTTGATTTACATCTCTCTGATGGCCAATGATTGTGAGCATCTTTTCGTATATTAGCTAACCACCTGAGTATCCTCCTTGGTGAAGTGTGTATTCATGTCATCTGACCATTTTTTAATTGGATTGTTAATTCCTTTGGTGTTGAGGCATTGGAGTTTTCCATCAATCTTAGAGATAAGTCTCTTACCAGATACGTAATTATCAGCAAATGTGAATTTGTTACTGTCATTTTTGTCATGTGCTTTTTCATTGTGTCGATTTCTTTGTTCCATATAATTTTCTATGCTGAGCTTGTTTTGTTTATGAATCATGTTATCACTTCCTTCATTGCTAATGTTTTAGTATTTGCTGAATATTTATGCTGTCCCCTTTTTTATTTTGATGTGAAGGTTTATAATTTTTCTCTGAGGTTACCCTGTGGTTTATAGTTTTCTTCCCAAGTGTAGAACAGTCCCTTCTATCTTGTAGTTGTCTTGACTTCCCTACCATCAAGAAGTTCTGTCACGACACAGATTTCTTTCCCACTTTTTGGTTTGTAGTTGTCCTCATTTGTCGGTTGGTGTCTCTGATTCCTTGTTTACAGTCTTGTATGCTTATTACTTTGGCTACTTTCATAGCTGGGTTGGTTTCTGGGTTATATCATCATGTGTGTTAATGGTCAGTTGTT